CTTTGTGTTCCTCTAAATCTCCCCTTATGCTGGAAAGGCTCCTGTGTTTGTACACTCAGAAATCAACAAAATTACTTACCGTTGTCTCATATCCAGACAATGATGGAGGAGATGGTGTGAGCAGTTTGACCCTCGATCCCTTTTTAAGTTTGCAGCATCAGTGGCAGAGCATTTTGTTCCTGGCTATGCTGGTGCAAAATCAAAGTAGCGTGATGGACTCAAATAACTCTGGCTCCAGTTTATCATTAACTTCAAGGGATTTACTCCACACTTTAATCAGTCACTGTGTACATAATCTGACACGGGAAAAGGCACAAAGTGTAAATCAGTGTCTGATTTGGTCCTGAGCCAATGCTGGTGGGGAGAAGTGCTTTCAAGAGATTTTATTAAAGGTATTTCTTAGATAACGAACACTCCTACAGAAAGAGGCCTTATCAAAAATGGAATGAGTATGGCCTATCGAACATTTGATTTCAACTTCTTCTGATCCTCTGTAAAGTAAAAGCTCTGGATGATGCAGCAAGGGAGGGAGTTTTGGCTTCTTATGTGCAATGTTATGGCATTTGGAGGCACCGGGTCTTGTGTCACCCCCGTATTCTTTGAGTGGGGAAGAGGAGGCTGGAAACACTCTTCGGCTCAATGGGACTCTGAGAAGGAGAGAGAAAATTACGCTTTTATTATAAGTTTTGCCAAATGATCTCTGAGAAAATGTGATATCATTCATATGCATTGCCAAGCTGGAGAGATGCCACACATCTTGGCAGCCATCTAGAGCTAACGTATAATTCCTTTGGGTTGGTATGGGCTTTATCAGAAACAGCTCCATATGCAGTATTTACATAACTGTGGTGGAGTGTGAGAATAAACACAGCTGTGGCATTGCCCTAAATATTTCAATTCAGCGGGGAATTAAGGGAACTTTATCACTGAATTGCAGATAAACAGAAGTCAGTAAGCGGTGGTCAGTTTAGCCAAGGAACAAATCAAAGCTACAATGGCTGGACTGCTGGAAACATTTAAGTGCTTTAGTATTGGACTTTACTAAGGTCACTGGTATTTTTTTGCTTTTCAAAAAAATATGGAAATGCCCTCAGTCAGCTGTTACACAAAAAGCATCATCCAAATGGACTGGTGAATCAAAGCAGCGTAGGCTGAAAGACAGAAACAGGAGGATTTTATAGAGATGCAGCGCTTTCCACATCTGATTGCAGTTGGATCCCATGGGTTTCCAGGAAGATTGTAAGTTTCTGTTAGTATCTCCATCCCAACTGACTGCAGAGATGGGAGTCCTTGATCTTTAGCAGAAATCTGTAAGCCTGGTTTCTTAAAAATAGTTTAGTACCCAGATATTATAGCAAATAGCCAGTAGCAGACTGCAGGCATTTGAAGATTTAGACTTTTGGCCTTAAGGTATGTATAAAAAAAGTATCCTACCTAGCAGCCTGCACAGGAATGACTCTTGCAGACATATTCCTTGTTCTGGACCAGTGCCATGGATAAAAGGATTCAGTTTCAAGACTGTCAAAGCAGCATTTATTCCCATTTCGAACTCAGTTTTGAGAGGTGTACCATGTATTGTCCAATCTTCCTGTCATTCAGCCCATGGAACGAGGTAGACTTTCTGCAGTTGTTATTGTATCACCATCAAGCTTTGATGGACTGACAAGCAGTGCCCAAAATAGCCCCATTAGAAGTCACTGAGGGATGATATTTTAAGAGCATTTTTGCAAGCGTGGTTCAGTATGTGTGTGTGCATATGTATACTAGAATATATATATTGATATCACAGTAGAATGTGTATATATTAGAATATGCATAGTTTAGAATCACTTAAACAGAATTGTAAAGAGCTGTCTAAATGTTCATTATTTTAGGGGACAGAAGTCTTGCAAAAATACTTAAATAGCTGCTGTCAAGGGAAATACACTTTGATGAAGGCCCAGGAAGCAAAATACTTGTTTATACGTTAACTCACTTGCTTTAAGTAAGAATTTAAGTGTTTTCCAAATTGTAGGGGAGCAAGTAGCCATTTGGAAGCTCTTTCAGTTCTAAATAATTTATTTTGAAACCAAAGCCTGCTACAATTTAAAAAGAAATTAGACAAGTTTACTGTTGTTCCTTTGCAACTGAGAAAGCAGCAGAATCTTCTGTGTCTTTGTAGTCCTTGTTCAGTGCTTTGTTTACCGCATGATACGCAGCGACTTTGGAGGTGGGAGTTCCCTTATAGAAACCACAGGCTTTGTGAAGAGCTTTGTTTCACACAATCCATACAGTGCATTAACATTTCTCAAAAACAGCACCATACTGCTGTCCTGTCCAAATAATTTTTGTATTTAAAAGAAGTATCAAAATGGTAGATAGAGTGTAGAAAATCCTGAGTGCTGCTCCTGGCTTGTTCCCTGCCTTGCCTGGATTATGCACCTCTCCACTCTTTTAGTGGTGAAACGGGGATGCTGTCATTGACCTCATTTGTAAAATGCTGCAAGATCTCCTGCCGAAAGTCCTCTGTAAATAATAAGCAACCTTTCACTGATGACCACAATGTACCTTGAAAATCCAGGTCTGCATAGATTGCTTCCATTGATAGCTGCCTACAGGAACAAGTTCAAACTCAAGGCAGTGGGAGACCAGTGCTTCTGATGGAAAGCCAGACCAGGGTGTGTTAGCTAAAACAGAATAGACTATTTCAGTTGGAAGGGTCCTACATCTAGTAGGATTTAGATCATCTAGTCCAACTGTCTGACCAATTCAGGGCTTACCAAATTAAAGCATGTTCAAGTTAAATGCCTCTTAAATGCTGACAGGCTTGGGGCATCAACCACCTCTCTAGGAAGCCTATTCCAGTGTTTGACCACCCTCTCAAGAAATAAATGAAATGCTTCCTTATGTCCAGTCTAAACCTCCTCTGGTGAAGCTTTGAACCATTCCCCTGTGTCCTATCACTGGGTACAAGGGAGAAGAGATCAGCACCTCCCTCTCTACTTCCCCTCCTCAGGAAGCTGGAGAGAGCAATGAGGTTGTCCCTCAGCCCCCTTTTCTCCAGACAAGCCCAAAGTCCTCAGCCACTCCTCACAGGACATTCCTTCCAGCCCTTTCACCGGCTTTGTTGCCCTCCTCTGGATGCATTCAAGTTCCTTCACATCCTTCTTAAATGGTGGGACCCGAAAATGCACACAGTGCCCAAGGTGAGGCTGTACCAACACTGAATACAGCGGGAAAACAGATGTGCAGGATCTTAATGGTCAATGGACAGAAATGGCTAAATCATGACTGTTGGGGAGACAGCCTTTCTTAGTCACAAGATCTGCATCATCTGACGAGGAATTTTCCTCTCAGTACCTGAGGTTGAATCCTTGGTGCATCCTGGAACGGCTAAATAAGAGCCTTTATTTTCAGACAGTCCTGAGCTCCAGCAGCTTTACTGAGGAAACATGCACTATAGTGTTGGCTCAGTGCTTTCTGAAAAATCAACCCACTTTTTAAGCTATCCAAACAGTGATTTAGGACCCTGAATAGTTCAGCTGCTGAGTTTGGAAAATTATGACCTTTTCTATCTTTAGAGCAGTGTCTACGTGGAGACCTCTCCTTCCCAAAATGGACAAACATGAGACCAGCAGTCCTCGCTCTGCTAGCTCCATAGATTGAGTTGCTCTGTGTTCTGGATTCTGCTCTGGTTTAACTAATTAATTAAAACCTCTTAACAGTTAGTTAAGCTCCAAATTGCAGGATTTTGTAATTGCATAACAAATATTTGCATTACAGTGCTGTCTTGAACCTCACCCTGAATAAATTCCCGTGAACTAATTACTTTTCTGCTACAAAAAGGAGTTGTTATGTGTCCCAGAGATCAGGCAGCAATACACAGGACAGAAGTACGTGCTTAGGCTCAGGTCCCAGGTCAAATCTGTGTGGGTAACATTCAGGGTCAGTCACTGTATATGTATAATGAAAAAGCACAAATGTGATACAGAGTTGAGTGATGGGCAATGACCAGGGCTCAGTTTTATAATCACTACATAAAGATAAACCAGACTATTACTTAGTGGGTTATTTAACCAAATGTTCAAGTAAAAGTGGCCCACAAAGCTATAAAGAGTGCACAAAGCCCCACTAATAACTAATACCTTCACTGAGAACAGAGCTGAAATAGCTGCAGCTGCCTCTCAAAGCATTTTTGTTGCTGCTGTTGTTAGCTAAGGTGTTGGCACAGGTCCCATAACCATGATGGACAGGATTCATATTCCTGAAAGCTGTGTTCGGCTGTGCTTTTCAAACCACAGTGGTGGGGTGGAAGCCCACAGGAAGGTCTAGTAAGCATGGGTTTTTTTAGGAAAAAAAGGATCTCTCTACACGGGAGTTTGGAAAACTGTAAAAGACGCCTGCCAGCAGCAATCATACCGTTGTGGTTAACACTTGCTGCCACTGTTGGCAGGATCTAAATGGAGCATTTAGGACATTGGTAACTCCTGGAGAAGACTTCTGGTTGATGCTTAGTGGTGTCACTGAAACCACAGCGCAATCATAAGAAAACTCCTCCATTTAGGATGCGGGTGGTTTTCATTTAGCTCTGTATGTGTAAAATAAGCACACTCAGAAACTCTGGGCATGCCGTGATATCCAGCTAAAGAAGGCAGCACATCCTTGGCTTCTCTGCAGTCATCTCCCATGCAGTTTGGGGTGGTTGCCGTGTTGGTGAATGTTAATGGAAGAATGCTCCTCTTGCCTTTGTATTTGAAGCTCCTATTGACACGCTAGGTGTGGGGTTGCATCAGCACTGGCAAATCTCCTTCTTAAGGATTTTACCACAATGCCAGTACAGACCTGGCTTAAGTTAAGATGTTCCTACTCTATTCAGGTTTTGTAAAGGTAAGTTTTTAGTGCTGGGTCTTGATATTAGTATCCTTCTTTTTAACTCATTGTTAACACTAAGTGAAGTAATAAATTTAGCTGCCTAACAGTATCTGAGTAAACATAATGTTTTTCCACCCCCATTTTTCTAGACTTATTGAAGTTCATTCGCCTGATGCCAAGCACACCGTGGTGCTCAGGAGTAAGGATTCGGCTACAGCCCAGGCCTGGTTCAATGCCATCCACTCCACTGTCAATGAGCTCATCCCCAGGGTGATTGCAGAGGTCAGAGACCAGCTGGGTAAAACAGGGATTGCTGGAAGTCGAGAGATTAGGCATCTAGGCTGGCTTGCAGAAAAGGTAATGAAAATATTATTCTTTTAATTTCTAAGCTCTCTATTTCTCACTTGCTCTTTGTTCCTGAATTCTGCCTTGTCTGGAAGTGGAGAAGCTAAATGAGGTTCTGGGTTTTGATTTAGCTTTCCATAAAGACCTTTCTTTTCTTAATGTGCCAATTTTTGTGCTTTAAAAAAAAACCCAAAAAACAAAAACCAAAAACCAAACAACCACCCAAAACAAATTAGAAGGTCCCCAGTTACTTGGTCCATGGTCCAGCACTCTGCTGTGCCTGGCTGCAGAAACTGGGCATGGTCTGGAGCATGAGTTGGTGTCCCCACTGTGCCTGGGAGCTTGTTCTTCATTTATAACCCTGTGTTTGAGCTGATCACAGAAGGCTGAGTTTGCAATTGCAACTCTTGCCCAATATCTTGCACAGTTCAAGTCTCAAAATATTGTACACCACAGGGGAAACCTAGTGTTCGGTTTGAAAGTAGTTTGGGATCTATTGACATCTGGAAAGGCAGCCCATGAACGCACAGGGATGGTATCAGTATGAGATGATCTGGTTTTAAATCACTAGTCTCAGAATTTGTTTCAGGCACTGTACCAACTGATAAGTGTGTATTTGCCACAGTAACAGTGTTAGGATTGTGGCTAGAAATACCTCCCATCCAGATACTGCCTGGGCAGCTGTTCAAAGCATCTCTGCCTCTCCAGCTGGAGTGCATGGAAAAATAGCCACTATGTACACCCTACCCTTTCAGCCTGTGCTACCAGCACAGGGGTGGAAAGCTAACTGTGATTGTCCTGAAGAAAATACTGGACATTCTTGCTCTCTCTGGGATTTTATAGATGAAAATATGGGAGCCATAGGCACAGGTGCCATATTTCTATATAGCGTCCTTTAAGAAGGCACACCATTAATTTTTAGCACAATGTGGGTCAGTCCACACCACTCATAGCAAGGCAAAGATTGCAGAATCTTTCAGGCAGATTTTGTGTGTTTTCTTGTCCCTCTCTCCAACCTTGCAGAGTGGGGAGGACAGTACAATTCTGTGGCTTAGTGCTATAGAAAATGTAAAAATTTGGGGGAATAGCTTGGAGTTAAAACACCAAAGCATTAGTAAGTGAATTTTAACAGTATTAAATTGTACAGTCATGGGGTCTCTAATCTTGTTTTCCCTTTTTTATCCATTTCTATAAATTTATGAAAAGCTGAATATAAGAGGCTTTTTCTATTGCAAAATCCTCTCCTCTGAAGGGGTAACTGCTCTGTAGCAGATCTTATAGACCTTATATGTAAAATATTCACAGGTAATTTTAAGCAGACACATGGTATGCTTCTGGTTTATGAATTTCCTCTCCTGACAGTTAGTACACAATATCCCATTCATACACTTCTTTCTCCTCTTTTTTTTTCTTTATGGACTGAGA